AAATATAAAGTTCAAGCAGCGTTTTGGAAAGATATGGGGCTTCATATAGACAAGCCGAGACAAAATGGCAGTGGCAATACAAATGACGGAAATATGGTGAGGCGGGCATTCTCCAACCCAAAATTATTGTCCTCTATATTAGGAATAGATCACAATTTGATTCAGCGCCTACATGTAATTTTGATAGCCATAAATTGTCATTACCCTATACATTTAGAAAAATTTAAATTATTCTGTTTTGAAACTTTTACTATATATAGGACCAATTACTTTTGGTACCCCATGTCGCCAACAGTACTCAAAATTTTAGTACATGGATACATAATCATTGAAAAATCAATTGTTCCTGTTGGCTCCTTAGAAGAAAGTGCATAAGAAGCAAGACACAAACTTTTCAAGGCTGACCGAAAAAATCATGCCAGAAAATGTAGCCGGATTGACAATATGTCAGATGTCTTTCACAGAGCTATGGATTCGTCTGATCCTTTGTCTAGTTCTTGGTTCACAAAAACTAACAGGATGCCTCTGCCAGCAGAGGTTGTCGATCTTTTGGATTCGCCAAAACTCGTGCGTAGAAGACACAGATGAAGAAAATGGCAACGATGATCGAAGTGACACTTTTGAAATCGAATTAGAGGAAGAGGTACCAGACGATATTGAAAACTAAAATACAAGGAATCGAGTAAGTTACAATTTTTGAGTTATTAAAAAAATTTAATCCAATTTTTTTCAGTGTTCGTAAAATTTAACAATGGATTTGAAATACGCAACAGATTTTAATTTTATTTTTCTATAATGTAATACCAAATGTGATTCAAATTATAATTTTTAATAATTTCTTGAATAACAGTGCATTTTTAACCACTGTGCGGTACGAAAATTAAAAAAAAAAAACAAAAACTAAAACTTTGTTTTAGTTCAAATAATAACATACAACAAGTTTCAAGTCAATATCTTATAAACTAGAGTTTATGCACCAAAAACGGGATTTTTGCCCACAGGGCATCGGTGTACACAGTTACGGCACGTAATTGCTTGCGTGTAGGTCCCCCTGTTGTACCCGTTGGCTGACGCCCTGACGGATTTGTGCTTCGACATTCAAGAAATATTAGTTTGATTTACACTACAAAATAAAGGCAAATGCAAACACGAAACAGCTGAATTTAATTGCTGTTATTTAAATACCTGACTGGAAAAATATCATTTTTGGTATGTAAGACAAAATGAGAATAATTTCCTTATCAAATTGGACCGTTTCAAAGAAAATTGTGTGATGTTGACTGCGCAATTACAGTCATGAAATAAAAAGAAAATTTGTAGCAACACAGACAAAAAATTAGCAACTGAAGAATGGGAAAGCCTATTTCATATTGTTACATTTAATTTGTTTTTAAATTTTTGATTCTACAATGTTTTTTAAAAACTATTAATTGTAGTAGGTAGTTTAAATAACTACTAATTTTTACGATAATTCGTAAAATTAAAAAAAATTGCAGTAGGTATTGCAGCTTTACCGGATATGACTTCTACCGAGCTGACTTTCGGAGCCTCGGATCCTCTTTTCAACACTTTCATCACTGCCCCATTTGATGGAGGCATCTTCAAATGGCCAGAACAGTCTTGCCTTTTCCTCTTGGTGAGATAAACTTTTCCGCAGCTTATCACCCACCAGCCATTTCCTGGACTACTGAAGGTTCTTGTACGCTGTTGTATCAGGCAAGAGAAAACTTTCTTGTTGGTGGAAATTTTAACGCAAAAAAAAGGGGCACCATCACGCCTTGACTTTTCTCTTTGCAATAATACTTAAGAGTGTCCATTGCGGATAGCCTTTGCTGAGGATCTCAAAAAACGCTGCCTTTTTCTGGAAGAAGCCTTTTAGACTTCTTTACCACGAAGAAGTGAGATCTACATATACTAACTTTTTACTAGTAATCATACTACTACTAGTTTTTCGCAATATCTTAGATAGAAAAGGAGGACACGGTTTCAAGGGCTATTCCTCCATTTCTGCGTCCTATATCAAACATATTGTTGCAAATAAAAATTTTGTCAAATGCAATAAATTAGTGGTGGAGAGCGATGCTTAATGACGTCATGCTAAAATCGACGTTTCCAAAGATAAGTTGTAGAGGTTTGCACAGAGCCCTGGCACACTATTTAAGCATACAACCTGGTACTCAATCAGGGACTGGAAAATAAACAGGTTTAATTCTTAAAAGATCCAATAATATGCGATTCTCAAAAATGCTGATCTGTCATTCTAGCCCAGTGATAGCCTGGAACGTAATTATACCCTTGCAGAGGGTATTATAATTTTGGTCAAAAGTGTGCAACGCAGTGAAGGAGACATCTCAGACCCTATAAAGTATATACATTCTTGATCAGGATCACCTCCTGAGTTGATATGAGCATGTCCGTCTGTCTGTCCGTCTGTCTGTTTCTACGCAAACTAGTCTCTCAGTTTTAAAGCTATCGTCTTGAAACTTTGCACACACCCTTCTTTCCTTTGCACGCAGTATATAAGTCGGAACGGCCCGGATCGGCCAACTATATCCTATAGCTGCCATATAACTGATTCATCGGAAATGGTATAACTTCGGTGTTTTTAGAGTTAGAGAGTTCAAATTTGACAAGAGAGCTATTTTTAGCAAAATATTTCGACATGCCAAATTTTATAAGGATCGGTCGACTATATCCTATAGCTGCCATACAACTGAACGATCAAAAATGACCCAACTTTCGTCTTTATGAAGATAGAAAGCTGAAACTTAGTACATATTCTATTTTTGGTCAGTTGATCCAACCTACCAAATTTAATTAGGATCGGCCGACTATATCCTATAGCTGCCATATAACTAAACGATCGGAAATGGTTTTTGGTAGAAATACCAACTTTGGTATTGTTAAAGATAGAAGTTTGGGACTTGTTTTAAATTTTGTATTTTAGTTAATTGGTTTTATTATGATGTAATCATAAGGATCGGCCAACTATATCCGATGTTTGCGATATATATCCGGTTTTAACTGCAAGGGTGTATCAACTTCGGCTCCGCCCGAAGTTAGCTTTCCTTTCTGGTTTTTTATTTCATTTTTCGGTAATTCAAAAGTTGGAATGGGCACCAAAATAGTGTATTTTATTTTAAAGAAAGCTTTTCTAGCAAAAGTTTTGAAACAAATGAAAAACTACGCTTTCCTATCTGTTCATTCTATGGAGAAAACTTTTTCCAATCCAATTTCTGAGAAAATTCTTCCCAAAGGAAATATTTTATTTTTTAAGTTTGAGCTGTCAAATGAGGCAAAATGGGAGCAAATAAGAGAGCTTCTTAAACAACTTGAGAGTACTCACACTTTCAGTGTGCCGGCACCGATACGGCAAAATTTACGACCCCATGCACGCGTGCTATGGAAAATGACAGTTTGATAGGTGGGATCAACGAATCAAAAATAGAATCTTTACCTTAAGTTACAACTCTAAGTTCTATCTTTAAAAACACGAAATTAGCTTCATTTCCGATTTTTCAGTTACATGGCACCTAAAGGATATAGTCGGGTGGTACTTATGAAATTTGGTATGTCGTATTATTTTACCAAATCCAGCATTCATGCATCCGAACTCTCTAACTCTAAAAACACTTATAAATTGTATAAAGTTATACAATTTTCGATCAATCCCGTTCCGGCCAATCCGTTCCGACTTATATAGTGCGTGCAAAGGAAAGAAGGGTGTGTGCAAAGTTTCAAGCCGGTAGCTTTAAAACTGAGAGACTAGTTTGCGTAGAAACCTTCACTGCGTTGCACACTTTCGATCAAAATTACAATACCCTCTGCAAGGGTATAAAAATGAGATTAAGAACTCCAATTTAATTGACGAAAACATTGTTAAACTAATATATACTAACTACTATATAATAAATTCAATAATAATAATTATAAAGTATAATCCCAAAATAATTGGGACTATAATATTCCTAAAATTATAAAAATGTAGGAAATAGACAAAAAATCAGTAATTTTTGTTCATATTTAAAAGTTTTGTTCAAATTTTGTTCAAAGTTTCAATTAAATTTGCACTAAGCATACCAAGAATTGGTTTGTATGGGAGGCAAAAGAGGGCGTGGTCGTACAGACTCAATTTTGTTTGCATCCTTATCAAAAACAAGAAAGAAAAGCCATAAAGCTAAGAAAAGCTTGATATACCCTTGCAGTTAAAACCGGATATATATATATATCACAAACATCGGATACAGTTGGCCGATCCATATGAGAATATCATAAAAAAACCAATTAATTACAATAAAATATCTAAAAAAAATTACCAATCTTCTATCTTCAAAAATACCAATGTTGGTATTTCTACCAAAAACCATTTCCGATCGTTCAGTTATATGGCAGCTATACGATATAGTGGGCCCAACCCGGCCGTTCCGACTTATATACTGCATGCAAAAAAGGAAGTGTGTGTGCAAAGTTTCAAGTTGATAGCTTTAAAACTGAGAGACTAGTTCGCGTAGAAACAGACAGATGGACAGACGGACATGCTCATATCAACTCAGGAGGTGATCCTGATCAATAATATATGTACTTTATAGGGTCGGAGATGTCTCCTTCACTGCGTTGGACACTTTTGGAAAAATTTATAATATCCTCTGCAAGGGTGATTTAAAAAAAAAATTGCCTTTGGCACAAATAAATCAACATTGACCCTGAACAAATTTAAGAATTGATACATTTTTTTTGTACCATTTTTAAAGACCATTTTTTATGTAGTCTTTTCTTGAAACTACCCAAGAATGTGCTTAATATATCGTATTCATTTTAAAGTAAGATAAAAAGATTGGCTTCGTCCCTTTCAAATTTTTGTGCAACTTTGAGTATTACTTTAATTTGCAAATGCTTACAATAAAATTTAGGAACAAAAAAATAATTTATTATGCAAATTTGTTGTTAAACATTTATATATGTAGATGCAGCGACAATATGTTCATACGTTCCTATTCCGATCAGCTGCTCAGTTCAATATCGCCGTCGTGTCAAACAGCCATAAATTCTCTGGATTTTAAATATTTTCAATCGTTTGACATTATTTTGAATTATTTCTTTCAATTTTAAGAGTTTGAAACATCGATTATTTAAATTAATTCTTATATTCTTGACTTTAGTAAATAATAAAAGTGGTTCAGCTCTAAGATGTGAAAGTATCAAGTAATAGCAGCTAATAATAATATTCGCACATGTATGTATATTTTAAAGATCTAGAATTGTAAATTAAACTATTCCCAAATAATGTCTGCATAAGTACTTATTTCAAAAAAATCAATTTTGAAAGTTTACATTTCTGGGTTTCTTAAAAAATTATGAATAAATGAGTTTATGAGTTTTATATATGTATATAAATGTGCTATGCATATATCCACAAATGTGATTTATATTTTATTCAAGTTATAAATTTCGCAATATAAAGGAATTCTGCATATTTGTACATTAACTAAACCTCAGAAGCACATAAATTTATAATGTACGTAAATGATTTTAATTGATTACAATAGTGTTAATCAAGCTCATATGAGCTCATGCACTAACATATTGTATACAGCGCTATATATGAATATATAAATACCTATATGTATGTATTTCTGTGTATATTAGGGTGGTGGTTTTCGTTGACGTATTTCAGTCCCTATGTGTTCACAGAATTCCAAAATGTACAGTTCTCTATATTCTGTCGTCTCAAAGAATAAGAGTTAAGCAAGTTATATAAACAGGCAAGCGAATACATCAAACGGCCAGAGGTTCCAATTTATATATATTTATTCTATATTTATTTTTACGTCTTTACATGGAGGTGATGCATATCTGCATCATACCCTTAAAATGCCGGATCTTTTAATACGCTTTAGTATAATTTAATTCAAATGTCAAATTTTTTATTCCTTCAGAAGGAGACATCTGTGACCCTTTAATGTATACATATTATTTTTAAGGATCACCTTCTAAGTTAATACAAGCATGTCGGTTTATCCGTCTATCTATCTTTTTTTTTTGCGAACCAGACTCAGTTATAAAGCTATCGACTTAAAACTTTGCACACTCCCTTCTCCCGGCTATATCCTTTAGCTACTATATAACTCATTGACAAAATTTGGTGTTTTTAGAGTAAGGGCGTTGTGTTCTAGAGTTAGAGTTGGCAGAGGTGAATTCTTTTTTTGGGAAAATAATACGACGTACCCAATTTATAAGGGCCGGCCGACTATATGAACCAAATGACCCAATTTGGTAAATTTCGCACTCTAATAAATTGCGGTTAATTTGAAATTCTCATAAGGATAAATAAGGATCAAGGGTATATTAACTTCGGCTCCGCCCAAAGCTAGCTTTCCTTTCTTGTTTTGTACACAACTTTTTTAAGAATTTAAAAAGAATTATAAAACTATTATCGCTCGTAAAATCTTAATGTGAAAAATGGTTAATATATTAATTGAATGTTTGCTTTTTTTTGTTATTAAAAATTTCATAAAGTTATTCTATTTATTCAAATTAAAAATCATTAAAAGCCCGAGAGGCTCGGGTGTTTTGGGTTTCTAGTTATACGGGGGTGCCACAGAAAACACGATTGATTTGGTGAAATGTCAAGCTTCAAATAACTGAATTGTCTTTGGCCTGACACACAATTTGTAGTGGCTTGGGCTGGACCAAAACCCTTGTAGTGTTAGTTGTAACACCTACCAGATTACAAAAACAAAATTTTAGTTTTTGATTTTTATTAATTTGTAGTAATTAATAGTGAAGAAATTTGATAAGATGCAATCCAATAAAAATTAAAACGATAATTTAAAAAATAAATTTAGTAATAAAAGAATCAAGAAAGGAAAGCTAACTTCGGGTGGAGCTGAAATTTATATACCCTTGCAGTTAAAGCAGGATATACTACAATCGAAAACATCGGATATAGTAGGGCAATTTTAATTTACGGGAATATGATAATATAATAAAACAAATTTTTTACAATAAAAAATTAAAAAAAAAAAATCCCAAGCTTCTATCTTCAAAATTACCGATCGTTCCGATTGTTCAGTTATATGGCAGTTATAGGATATAGTAGGCCGATCGTATTATTACGTATTATTTTCCAAAAATTGCATTCATACAAAATCTGATCTTTCTTACTCTAAAAACACTAAAGTTATAGCATTTCCGATCAATCAGTTACATGGCAACAAAAATTATAATACCCTCTGCAAGTGTCAATAAAATATAAAAAAAGGTTAACATTCAATAAATTTTATTTTTAAGCTTAAGGGGACCCCCCCATTCTCGATTTTAAATTTTGACGATTTTCAATGGGCTGGCAAATGAACATAAATTATTTTTTAGGGTTGTAACTGTGCTTACATATATTAAGACACAAAAAGGAAGAAAATCATTTCACAGAATTTTTTTTTGTTTTGTTTTTGTTGTTGTTTTTTGTGATCAAAGAAAAGCCCTTCTTTTCGGCGGCGCATTTGATTTCCGCTCACTGGAACATCTGAATCCAAAAATTCCAACGGGATTGGAAAAAGTACATGTTTGGCTCTCGTATGAACTAGGATTATTAACTTCGCTCAAAAATTAACAAAATGGTGGACCTTTGAAATTTTTTTTTGGAAATTTCCATTTTTTTCAGCCACAAATCGAGTTGAAAAGTAAGGAAGATCTTCACCGATTCGATTTATCCTAGTTCATACGAGAGCTATATATGTATAGAATAACGTGTTAAAATTTGGAACCGATTAGATTAATAGTTTTTGAGTAACCTTATGCGCCAGTCGTAAAAACACTGTTTCGAGAAAAACGCGTTTTAAGTTTTGAGACAGCTCTCGCCGTCGCCTGAGACTTCCACTTCCACTTCCATAAATCGGCTATATCTTCAAGAGTTTTTGAAATTTTTACTTGAAATTTTTACTTGAAAATCAGGGAACATTCTTGAATAGTTACAATTTCGAATTAAATTAAAAAAAAAAAAATCGATTTTTTAAAACCGAGAATGGGGGGGGTCCCCTTAAGCTAAGGACTTAAATCGTGGCATAACCGTAAATTAAAATCACCTTAATCTTAAATTATTTAGCCTACTGTATGAAAAGGAATTGTACAAAAGTTTTAAAAAGGGCTTGATTTTACCAATTACAGCCATGGAAAAATGGTTTTAAATTTCTCGTTTAGGAATTTATAAGATCAAAAAAGTTCCGAAAACGATTTTTTCTAAATAAATCAAGATTTTGAGGGTGTTAAAAATATTTCAAACACGGCCTAACAAATAATTCCTACTATTTCACTTTAAAAGTTCGTCCATTTTTTATACCCTTGCAGAGGGTATTATAATTTTGTCCAAAAGTGTGCAACGCAGTGAAGGAGACATCTCCGACCCTAAAAGTATATATATCACCTCCTATAGGATCACCTCCTGAGTTGATATGAGCATGTCCGCTGTCTGTCCGTTTCTACGCGAACTAGTCTCTCAGTTTTGAAGCTATCGTCTTGAAACTTTGCACACACTCTTCCTTCCTTTGCACGCAGTATATAAGTCGGAACGGCCCGGATCGGCCGACTATATCCTATAGCTGCCATATAACTGATTGATCGGAATTGGTATAACTTTGGTTTTTTTAAAGTTAGAGTCAAATTTGACACGAGAGCTATTTTTGGCAAACCATTACGACATGCCAAATTTCATAAGAATCGGCCGACTATATCTTATAGCTGCCATATAACTGCACGATCGGAAATGACCCAACTTTCGTGTTTTTGAAGATAGAAATCTGAAACTTAATACAGATTCTATTTTTGGTCAGTTGATCCAACCTACCAAATTTCATTAGGATCGGCCGACTATATCCTATAGCTGCCATATATGTAACTGAACGATCGGAAATGGTATTTGGTAGATATATCAACTTTCGTATTTTTGAAGATAGAAGTTTGGGACTTTTTTTTAGATTTTTTATTTTAGTTAATTAGTTTTATTATGATGTAATCATAAGGATCGGCCAACTATATCCGATGCTTGCGATATATATCCGGTTTTAACTGCAAGGGTATATAAACTTCGGCTCCGCCCGAAGTTAGCTTTCCTTTCTTGTTTTTAACTGTAATTTTACATAAAAGTGAATTTTATTAAGAATGTTAGCAAAAAGAGTAGCAAGATTCGGTATTTCGGTATTTTTGAAATCACTCAAAAATGTATGTGTGGCACCCTAAAGAGAAACTATAGCGAAATTTTTGTGAAAATGTTCTGTGTAGTACCCCTGGTAAAAAGGCTTTTGGAAAATTTCATATCTTTGGTGTTTTTCAAAGTAAAACTTTTGTACTTGATACAGGTTTTCATTACCTTATATTTTCTTTTATCTTATGCAAATGCATAAGATTTTATCGATGCAAATGTATTTATTTGCTGAGATAATAAGAATTTTAAGATCGTGTGGTGAATGATTGGTCCAATCTAAAGCGCCAACCAAAGTCGAAATGGTCAGATAGACTCAGATAAAAGACTCAAATTTTAGTCCTTCTCTTCAACCGATGAAGTGCATTTGGGGTAGTGTTTTAGGAGAGGCTAGCTTTCTACATTAGCATTAATAAGGATATGTAGAAAAACTATCGTCGTTCCATAACACAGTGCGACAGTGATTTGGAACTTTTGAAGAGACCTAGTAGGAATTGTTCATTAGGTCGAATATAGTATAAAACCGTGTTTGAAATTTTTCGAACACCCTCAAAATCTAGATTTATTTAGAATAAACGGTTTTTCGGGACTTTTTTGCTCTTAAAAATTTCTAAGCGCGTAATTTTAAACCAATTTTAAAATTTTTGACGTTTTTTAATAGTTAAATGTTGTAGCTTTTGAAAAAAATAGATCTTTAATTTATTTCAACAAAAAGGATACAATTTTTACGCAGAAAACTGACATTTTTGATTTTTTGTCGTGTTTTTCGGACTTTGACGCCATTTTTTTGGTGCAACTTCCAAAAAAATGGTATCATTGTCTCGTTAATTCTGAATAAAACAAGACCAATTTCATTAGGAAATTATCAAAATTGGTGAAGTTATAAAGCTTTTTATTCAGAATTAACGAGACTATATTGATATGTGTCAAAACTGATACCATTTCTTGGAAGTTGTACCGAAAAAATGGCGTCAAAGTCCGAAAAACACGACAAAAAATCAAAAATGTCAGTTTTCTGCGTAAAAATTGTATATATATAT